TCTGTGACAGGGTGTAGAAGCAGGAAGTTTGGTTCCTCTCTTGATACCCGGAGTAGAAGCAACACATGCTGCTGTTGCCAGCATCACCCGGGATACGTCTACACTGGCATGATTTTCCGGAAATGCTTTTAACGGAAAAGTTTTCCATTAAAAGCATTTTCAAAAAGCGCGTCTAGATTGGCAGGACGCTTTTCCGCAAATCTGTGACAGGGTGTAGAAGCAGGAAGTTTGGTTCCTCTCTTGATACCCGGAGTAGAAGCAACACATGCTGCTGTTGCCAGCATCACCCGGGATACGTCTACACTGGCATGATTTTCCGGAAATGCTTTTAACGGAAAAGTTTTCCATTAAAAGCATTTTCAAAAAGCGCGTCTAGATTGGCAGGACGCTTTTCCGCAAAAGCACTTTTTGCGGAAAAGCGTCTGTGGCCAATCTAGACGTGCTTTTCCGCAAAAAAGCCCCAATCACCATTTTCGCCATTGGGGCTTTTTTTGCGGAAAACAAATCTCTGTTGTCTACATTGCCCTTTTGCGCAAAAGTTTTTTGGAAAAAGACTTTTGCCCGAACTGGAGCAGCATAGTATTTCTGGAAAAGCACTGACAATCTTACATGAGATCTTACATGAGATCGTCAGTGCTTTTGCGGAAATTCAAGCGGCCAGTGTAGACAGCTGGCAAGTTTTTCCACAAAAGCAGATGATTTTGCGGAAAAACTTGCCAGTCTAGACACAGCCCATGGGTTTCTACAGTTGCCCCTGCCTGCAGTGCCCTGCAGGGCCTGGGGAGGTGCCACCCCGGTGTGTCTCTATGGGAACATCCTGGGAAGCAAAGTCTGTTTAACTAGCCATGCTATAATGGGAGCCCACTGAGGCAGGTTGCTCCTGCAGCTGTCTCCTTTGGTCTACGGAGCTGTCCTCCTACATTGATGCTTCTATATTGGTCTCCCCTGAAATCTATTTCCTGTTGCTTAGGCTCCTAGAGCTTGCATCTGCCATGCTGTGCCCTGAACACTTGGCCCACAGTCAGCAATACTGACCCTACAGTCAGCAGGGCCCACTGGCCATCAGCTGTGTCACTGGCAGAGGGTGTGAAAGGAACGTACAAGAGCCAACTCCTGCCTGAAGGGAGGTCAGGGGACGACCAGGATTTCTGAACTCTTGGGGTGCAGCCTCATTGGGAGGCTGGTCGCACAACTGGCTCCACGGTGAGGCTGTTCCCTGTGATCTCACCTCCTCAGTGGTGCTTCCCAGTCCTGGCAAAGGGAGGTGTCTACCCGTGAGTCCCTAGGAGGGTCTCTCCCCACAGTCCTTGCTATGGGGAGGAGGAGGAGATCATAAGATACACCTGAGACTCCCCTCACTCTCCATTAGCACATGGGGCAAGGCTGGGGGAGTTTCTGTGTTCCATGCTGCTCCTCCCCACACAACAGAAGTCAGTAGTAAACCAACAGCTTGTGGCTGTTCTCAGCTCTGTTGAGCTTTCCTGGCCAGGTGTGACATGCCTGGGTCCTGAGGAGGAGCAGCAGTGCAAAGTCATGGGACCCGTGCAGCGGGACTTCATCCCGGGGGCCACTCCTGTGCTGATGCATGAGTGCCACCTGCCCTCTAGAGCACCCATCAAGGACTGTGGAGCACAGCAGAGATTCTGGTGCTGCCCAGCTGATTAGCAGAGTGCCCACAACTAGGTTTGTGTTTCTGCTGGTGGTCCACATTCACACATGCCTTGGTGCACATAACATTGATTCTGCACATGCATGGGAAAGATTAGAGGGACCATCACTGTGGCAATAGGGGCCAATCAGGTGGACAGGAGTGCACTGCATGGGGGGCACCTCTGCTATCACCAAGGAGTTTGAACTTTCCCTGCAGCTACAAAGCAAACACCCTGCCAAAGCTAAGCAGGGGAGCCAATGGAGTTGCAGAATTTCCTGGGTGCTTGGCCAGTGCCAACTGGCCAAGGTTACTCAGGCGCAATCACTGCCAAATGTGCTGAACTTTGACCTGTTAAAGAGGCAGCAACTCACCCTTCAGCAACAGGCTTTAAAGAGCCCCTGTCCCACAGTGCTAGCCCCATCCCATGACAGGACATGGACCCCCCTTAGGAGCATGGAGGGAAGAGGGAGATGTTATAATCTGCATGTTGTTTTCCTGCATTCATCATCACGTTCATCAGACTGATCTTTGCTCCATGATCCATCCTTGAAGCCTGCCCTGCCCCTTCTGGAGTAGCTCCTGGAGCAGAGTGCACCCAGCTGGGAAGCAGGACTTGAAGAGACAGCCTGGAACTCAGAAAGGGAAGCCCAAGCTCCTGGTCACAGGCATGTCCTGCAGGGCAGAAGCAGCTTCCCCTGTAGCCTGGGTCTGAGATGGGACATGGCTGGGATTCTTTTTGGCATCCTGCATTGAGAGTCGGTTCTGCCAAGCTGGGGATGGACCGAGGTGCACAGGAAGTGCCTGGCCCCAGGGAATAGACATGGAAGAGGAAGGGCACTTGGAGAAGCAGCTCATGCCAATGGACAAGGCAAGAAACCGGGACACAGGATGGTTTAGTCTCAGCTTTGTCCAATGGCAGTTCTCTCAGTGTGATCTAGGGCAAGTCACTCAACTTCTGGGCCTCAGTTTCCCACCTGTAAAATGGACATCAAAGTACTTATGGGGGGAGGGGGTTTCTATGGTCAGAAAGTGCCATTTCAAAGGGCTGTTCCTGAGTAGAGCTCAGTGAAGCAGGGGCCTGGGAGAAGTTTACAGCAATGTCACGAGACCTACCAGGCCATTAACTTCAGCTGTGTATCCTCCGACACACTCACAAGCCCCACACCCCCTGCCCACACCACAGCCCTTTCCCAGGGCTGCCCACAGCATGTGGGTGTAGATTGCCCAGTGTGGGAGACAGGGGTGACAGACCAGAAACAGGCAGGACATTGACCAAGATCCATCCTGGACAAACACAAGAGGCAAAGCTGCCAGAAATGTCACCACTGGCCTGAGCACACAGGGGAGAGAAGGCAGCTATTAGCAAAGTGGTGCCAATGTAAAGGCCTGGAGGAATCACATCACAGAGTAGGGAGGGGACCGGTGCGTCTGGTCCCACTGCCACCAGAATATGGAGTCAAAGGAGGACCTCCCCAAATTCGATGGACACAGACAACAGGGCAGGAGCTCCAAGAAACAACAAAACCTGAGGGACTGCAGGAAGACTGAGAAATGAGCTCTACAGAGCTCGGCTAAGTGACTTCCTAGTGGAGCGGGGCAGGAGATCTCGCCTGAAGGGATGAATACCAGGGGCAAGAATTAATCCAGTTTGGGTGCAGGGCAGGGCCAAGGAGAAGTGGGATGAAATGAAGAAGGAGAACATTTAGGCTGAATACCAGTGAGATCAAGGGATCCTGGGGAACAATTCCCAAGAGAAGCAGGAGCCCCAGGCCTTGAGTGATTTAAACAAATCACCCCGCAATGCACAACAGCGCCCATCCTGCTCCAGAGTGCAAGTGAATGGACACAGTGGGGCTGCACAAGGCTCCTCCAACAGCTGAGAACAGGGGCCCAACCCCAAGCTCTGAATCTCTCCTGGGTTAAGACGCCACTTAAACATGATGCCAACAGAGCACACAGCCACCCCACCTGGTCTGCAGTGACAATGGCTGTCAGACCACCAGAAACCCCTAGTCTCCGAATCCAGCTTCCCACAGGCCTGCTCCACAGCTGAGCCTGAGCTGCCCTTTCAGCCTGAACCGAATAGCCAGGCAGCGTCTAACAAAGGGCACCCTGTCTGCTAATGCCCTGTCCCCACTCAGAGCTCTCAAGGTGCATGGTGAGAGCTGAATGCGCAGGGTTGTCTTCCCCGTGCACCCAAGAGCCTAGACTCTGCGGTGCCCTTAGAACTCTGAAATCTTGTTCTTTGTCAGCAAACTGTTACATTCCTTATTGCGTCTCGGCTGTGGCCTGTCCCAGATCTCCCCTTGTCCTCTTCCTGCCATGTCCTCCAGCCAACAGAAATGTGGTCACGCCCTGCTTTGCACTGTTTCCTCTAAAACCCTCTGTTCTCCATCATCCTGGTTCTCAGGCTCGCAACCTTGGGTCCATCTGCAACTCCTGCCCCCAACCCTGCTGCATTTCCCTCCATAGTGTAGCAAAAAGCCAGCTCTTCCTCCCCAAGCTACAACACACATCCATGCCATGACTCCTGGTCCCTCCTCCCTGGCCTCCTCGACATTCACACGTAGGATCTGCCATAGAGAAGAAGTGTGGCCCAGTGGTTAGAGTGCTAACCAGGGACTCGAGACCTGTAGACTTCCCGTGTGACCCCGGATATGCTACTTGGGCCTGGTTTGCATGAGAACTTGGCCAAAATCAGCATCCAAGGGCTGTAACTATGCAGAAGAATTTTGCAGAAGCGACAGTCACTTGTGGAGGAGACCTACAGTGTCAGAAAACCCCATTCTGTTGCTGTTGGCTGTGTCTACACCACAGGGTTCCTGGGGCATGGCTACAGCACTGCATCTGTCTTGCTCTAGTGCCCAGAATGTAGATATGGCTTTAGTCTCTCTGCCCATGCCCCATGCGTTCTTCCCATCCTGCTAAAGACCGAGAGGTGCTCAGAAATTACAGCAATGGGGCCTCCATAGGCCAGAGCTTCCCCTCTCCCTCCAGGCTGCACACATAGAGCAGTGTATGGGGAGATCTAGCTGGCCGAGTGAAGCACAGCCTGACTCTCAATTCGATGGCATTTCTCTGAAATGAGATCATTTGTGATGCAGTTCCAACTTCTCAAGGATTGTTCTGCACATCTAAAGACAGAGCCCTCATGACTGATGAAAAGCAGAAAACCCAAAGAGGGAAGGAGGAACACAAGGGGTGCGTCTAGACTGGCAAGATTTTGCGTAAACGCAACCGCTTTTGCGCAGAAACTTGCCAGCTGTCTACACTGGCCACTTGAATTTGCACAACAGCACTGACGTTCTAATGTAAGAATTCAGTGCTTCTTGCGCAAATACTTTGATGCTCCCGCTCAGAGATAAGTTCTCTTGCGCAAGAGGCCAGTGTAGACAGGCACCTCCATTTTTTGCGCAAGAAAGCCCGATGGCTAAAATGGCCAAAAGGCTTAGATATTCGTTTCTGGCTTCTCATCCCAAACCAGGATAGCATCTGCCGGACTGCAGTCTGTCAGTGCAAAGCCTCATACTGGGCATGGATACTTTTTGCGCAAAAGCATCCGTGCCAATCTAGATGCTCTTTTGAGGAAATACTTTTAACGTAAAAACGTTTCCATTAAAAGTATTTCCTCAAAATCATATCAGTCTAGACGCAGCCATGGAGTTCCTGCTGTCCCACTTTCAGGGTATATGCCCCTGTATTCCATACGGTGGATGGCATATTATTTTCCTGCCTTAAGAGCAGGATGACGTGGGTGTGTTTCCAAATGCTTTTGAAAGGGGGTGTGAATTGAACAAGGTGGGGCAGAAGGACATGATCTGGTATCTGGCTCCACTTCTGTCAGGGACAAAAGGCTTAGATATTTTCACACTTACGGCTAGAATGGGTGATCATACAGATTAAGAGTAGGAAAAGGCTGGCTGCAGATATCACAGTGTAAATCCAGGGAGCTATGCAGCCTGCACGCCGATCTGAAGGGAGACAATCCCTTGCCTCTTACCAAAAGAGGTGATGGCTGGGAGCTTGAACCCTTTAACTGGGGTCCTTGAGGGACCATGATGACATCTGGGCTGGCAGCTGGCTGGCAGGGCCATTATCTTTGTCCCCCTTTGTAGCTGTCTGTAGATCAAAGAATCTGTGATGGCTGCATTACTGCCTTGCAGTGTAACAGCATGCAGTGTAAGCCTGCCCACCCTCCCAATACAGTGTAAAGTGCGGACACCCTGAAGCACTCAGCTCTCAGACAGAAGTAAGAGTGATGACAGGGAAATAGAAGCATGGAGGCATACACAAAGCCTCTGGGTTGGGCGGTACGGGTGACATCAGGATGGGGAAAGGAAATGGGGGAGGCACACAGAAATCCTGGCATAGGGTGAGGGGAAGAAATGAGGCAATATACAGAACCCCAACATGGAGGGAGAATGGGGGACAATGGTATGTGGAGGGGAACCCCCACATTTTACAGCTGGTTAAAAATGCCAGAGGTTTCTTAGGGGACATTGTGAAAATAAATGATGAGTTTCTTTTTAGTTGGTCATCGAAGATTTTTTTTGTTTGGGATTTTTTTAATTAAAAATGAAAAAGAAAAATGTTGGTTTTCATTCTTTAAAAATATTCAATAAGTGAACCCGAACATTAACAATTTAACCACAACTTTTCCTGAAAATGTCTTTGTTTCTGGCTTCTCATCCCAAACCAGGATAGCACCTGCCGGACTGCAGTCTGTCAGTGCAAAGCCTCATCTGGGCCAACAGAACAGCCCTCTTTTAAAGCTTGTTTTGATGAAAAGTGCCCAGCGTGACCCAGCACCGTGCTATTTACTGAGTCCTTTCCTGGAAGTCATCAAGCTGAACTCTGGCAGCCTCATTAGCAGAAGATGCTCCACACGTATCTAGGTGAGCAGTGTGCCTGGTAATGAAATACATGGGCGAGAGAGAAACTCTCCGTGGAAAGGGCTAGGCACAAAGGCTTGCTCGGCTCCTATGCCAGTGCAAAGGAAGCATAAAATGCTACCAGATCTGACTGGGAGCCCTTTGCAGTCGGGATGTGATAGTGTAGTCAATGAACCGATTAACCAATAAGCAAAAGTGCATAGGTTAATGCTATAGAGTACGTGCATTTCCCCGCCTCCCCCACCAGTGCATTTTTAGCAGGCTGGCCAGCAGCCCGGCTCATTTCTGGCTTGTGATGGGTCCTGGACCTGCCCCTGCTGCGGCTCTGCATTTAAAGTGTAGTAGGAGCTGGGCGGGCAGGCAGCCTGGCTCAGGCCTGGGAGCTCAGATGCTCCCCCCAGACAGGGGCTGCTGCCACCCAAGCTGCTGACTCTTTATCAGAGGCAGCAGCACAGGGCAACAGGCAGGCGGTCTGCAAGGGGAGCTGGTTTTTAAACTGGCTCCCCTCACAGACCAGCACCTGCCTGGCACCCAGAGGCAAAGGCAGCAGCGCAGGGTGGCAGAGGGCTCCTCAAGAGTGAGGCCGGAGCACACTGGCTGTCGGCCCTGCCCCCAGGGACTATAGAATAGTTGACTAACCAATAAGAATTCAAGAGGTTACTCGACTATTCAGTTAACCGATATTTAACATCCCTAGAGTGTAGACTGTGCTGGGGCGTCACCGTGCACCCCGGGAAACGTCTAGACTGCAAGCTTCTTCTGAAAGAGCATCCACACCTCAAAACCGGATTGAAAACTGATCTGCTTTTTCGAAAGAGAGCATCCAGACTGCATGGAAAGAAATCCCTGATTGCTGTGCACAGAATGGCGCAGCAGAATGGCCACCAGGGCACCTGGGCTTTTTTTGATTCCCTCTTCTTTCAAAAAATGCCCCTGTTCTGCGTCCACACATGCCTTTTTTCAAAAGAGCTCTTTCGAAAATGGCGTTCTTCCTCGTAATCTGAGGTTGACCAATGTCGAAAACCCTGTATTCTTTCCATTTCATTTCAAAGAACGCCATTGCAGTGTGGACGCAGGTGACGTTTTTTCGAAAAAACAATGTAGTCTAGACATACCCCCAGTGTTGTTCGGCACCTGGAGGGGGGCCAGGCCAGTGGGGCCTTGTCTCCCCATAAAGAGCTGGAGAGTCCAGCTGGAGGGAGCAGCCCCAGAAGATGGGAGGCAGATTGTTCTGTCTAGGTCCTCTGGGAAGCAGCCTGAAACAGGGCTGAGAAGGGAGGGCAGGCTGGCAGAGCAGACCATGTGTTCTAACAGCAAAGGGCTGAGGGAAGGGCACTGCCTCTGGGCAACAGGAGCAATGTCTCAGCGGGTTTCTGCAAGTGCAACAGCCCGTGTGCTGCTCTGGCCCCTGTGAAGGGACTTGGGGCTGTTGGGTAAATAGAAAGCACCAAGTGCGTATCGCTCGTTTCTCTTTTAATATGAAACTGACCCACTGCAAAGCCCCAAAATCTGCTACTCATACTGGGGGCTATGAGCCCATATTAGTACCAAGCTAGTCTGTGATCATGTCGCTAATGTCCACCCCCCACTGCCAGGGACACAAAGGGGGGGCAGAGATAACATGCTGATGTTCAGTTGTAGGGCTCTTCTGAAAGAAAAACCAAATGGCTGCTGGAGCGATTTTCAAAAGGGAAAAGAGCCTGGGGGATGAGCCATGGCCAAAGCACCTGTTCTAACTGTATATTTTGATCTGTATTCAAAATGTGATCAATGTCCTTGACCCCTGTCTATATGCCAGAGGCCTGCCACACAGAGCTGGGGAGGGGGAATCCAGGGGTCCCAGCCAAAAGGATCCTCAGACTTACCTGTAGGCCAGGCTCATGCACTCGAAGAGTCGGGTGAGAGTTGGGTCGATGGTCCGGGGATCTGCTGGCTCCGGCTCAGAATGGTGGTGGCGTCGGCGGGGCACCAAGTCGCTGTGCGGCGAGGACACCATAAAGTGGCCGCTGTGGATGACCTGGGAGTGGGGCAGGGAGCCTGACCCTGGCCCAACACTGCCTGAGCCCAGACCCTCTGAGTCTGAATCAGAGTCTAACTCTGGGACTGTCCTGACCTGTGGGTCCAGAAAGGCTCCATGCAGCCCCACCTGCATTCCAGCTATGGTGCCCGGTGCAAGCAGCCACCCACCAGTGTGACCCTCTTTGTCTGTCTGGGGTCTGGGTACCTGGGAGGCCCACATCATGGCAGTATCTGAGCCCCACACATGTCCATTAGCATAAGGCGTGTGCACCATGCCCCCAGAGCTGCATGTTGCTTCCCCACCCTCTCCCTGACTTGTTCTTTGTCCTGTGTCCTGCTTAGCTTGCCATTCCCCGGCTTCTTGGCAGTCCTATTTATAGGGCCCCCAGGTATAATCCCACCCCGCCCTCTTTACTCCAGCCATGCCTGTGGGCGGGGACAGGGGTGGGCGCTGGAGTCGAGCAGGGAATTAACCCCTTGTCTGCTGGATCCAGGGAAAAGGGGGAGCTCTGGGTCACACTAGAGTCTATTTCCATGACAAGCTGCCTACATTAAAGGAGAAGCCGCTCCAGCTTCCATCTGTTCCCAGCCCCCGCAGCTAGGAGGCCAGAGACAGGTCTGCTACTACAGCTCAGTTAGCTTTGTTTACCTTGGCTCAGCGCTGCTCTGCCTGCGAGCGGGAGAAAAATACACGGTATTTACCTAGCACGTCTGTACTAATGTTTCCCCTGCATTTCCCAGGGAACAAATACAGATTAAGGGACAAAAACAGGCAATTATAGCAACCAGGGTCCAGCTCAGCACAAAGCAGGGAGCGACTCGCGGAGTCATGCCCAGGGCCCTGGAAACAGGCAGCGTGAGAACCTGCTTTCAACTGGCTCCTCCAGGGTCTTCCGCTGAGCCAGAGAGAGGCAAAGATACAGACAAGTTCTCCCGGGGGCCTCTGTGGGAGGCAAGGCCCCCAAGAACAACTGGCAGACTTACTCCGTCTTGGGCCTGAAAACTTACAACTGACGTGCTAAGGGGAGATTTTCAAAGATGGCTCACACCTGCTCTGACTTCTGGGGGAGCCAAGCAGCCAGCCCCATGGGGGCCATTGAGAATCTCCTCACCCTTTGGCCCAGGATGCATCTGCAGTGAAGGCTCTGCCCAAGTCTCCATGCTCTGTGCTGTCTGTGGGTGATGGTCTGCACAGGGGGCAGGCTGAAGGGGGGTGCGGTGCTGTAGCCAGGTCACGACTGAATGAGAACATTGAGAAGAATGTTCCTAGCATCACGGAGTATGGCCAAAATGGCGTATTTGAGTGTTGGTGTCAGAATATAAGTATAATGATGGTAATAAGTGCTATACAATTATATGAAATGATATGCCAAGAAGGCTAAAGGCATATTAGGGTGCATTAGGAGGAGCAGTGCCAGCAGATCCAGAGAAGTGATTATTCCCCTTTTTTCGGCTCTGGTGAGGCCACATCTGGAGTACAGGCAGTCCCCGGGTTACGTACAAGATAGGGACTGTAGGTTTGTTCTTAAGTTGAATTTGTATGTAAGTCGGAACTGGTACATATTGTAGGGGAAACTCTAGCCAAACATTTCTCCAGAGCTCAGTTTTATTCTCCCACACCTCACTTCCCTCAGCCCTTTATTCTCAAGCTGAAGTGTCTGCTGAGAAAAGCCGCTCCACCTCTCCCTGGTCTGCTGGGGTGGGGGGGCGCTAGCTTCGCATCTCCCTGGTCTGCTGGGGGGAAGCAGCTAGTGCGGGGTTGCCTCACCCCATTTGTAAGTAGGGATCCGATGTAAGTCGGATCCCTGTAACCCGGGGACTGCCTGTATTGTGTCCAGTTCCAAGCCATCTACTATAGAAATGATGTGGACGCATTGGAGAGGGTCTTGAGAGGGCAACCAAAATGATTAGGGGGCTGGAACACATGACCTATGAAGAGAGGCTGAGGGACTTGGGGCTGTTTAATCTGCAGAAGAGAAGAGTGAGGGGGGATTTGATAGCAGCTTTCAGCTTCCTGAAGGAAGGTTCCAAAGACAATGGACAATAGTGACAGATGGCAGAACAAGGAGCAATGGTCCCAAGTTACAGTGGGGGAGGTCTAGGTTGGATATTAGGAAAAACTATTTCACTAGGAGGGTGGGGAAGCACTGGGATGAGTTACTTAGGCAGGTGATGGGATCTCCATCCCTAGAGGTTTTTAAGTCTCGGCTTGACAAAGCCCTGGCTGGGTTTAGTTGGGATTTGGTCCTGCTTTGGGCAGTGGGCTGGACTTGATGATCTCCTCAGGTCTCTTCCAGCTCTATGATTCTAAATTCTGTATGCTTCAGTTTGAGCCTGCCAGCCATCTTTCATGATTAGACAATGTTGGCTGTAAAGTCTTGTTTCTTGTTAGCATTACACATTAAGTTGTGCCTCTTGTCTGCATTGTAAATTAAATTAACTTAAACAACAAATGGTCCTGCAGCACTTATGTCCCAGCAGGACTTTTTGTAATTTCTTTGGTAACTATATGATCCTTTCTAAAATGTAATCCTGTCTAAAATGCTCAGTGAAGATTCTTTAACAGGAAACAATTGCTGTAAATCATTTGTTGTGAGTGGTGGATATGTACATAGTTAAGGATAAGTGTGAAAGCCATCACGAATGCCCAAATGGTGAAGAAGTGAGAACTTTAAAGACAACCAGGAGGCTAGAATTAAATTAGCAGAATTAATACACTTTGGAGACAGGACAAAAGAGATAACAATGGGAAGCCTGACAATAGTCATCAAAGGATAACTGTGGAAAACCAAAGCAAAATGCAGGACAATGTAGCACTTTAAAGACTAACAAGATGGTTTATTAGATGATGAGCTTTTGTGGGCCAGACCCACTTCCTCAGATCAAATAGTGGAAGAAAATAGTCACAACCATATATACCAAAGGATACAATTAAAAAAAAGTGAACACATATGAAAAGGACAAATCACATTTCAGAACAGGAGGGG